GTACTGATCGGATATGTATCATTCTCACTCCAGTAGGAATAAGGATAGGGGATGTTCAGTCTGCTAGAGTCTTAGTCCTAGTAGTTGGTAGGATTAGAGAGTGTATTCTCCAGCCAGCCTCCAGCGCCTCCCTGCCTTCCGACCCATCCACACCAGACTTAGCCTGCTTGTTGGCAAATATCCTTCAGGTTTTGTTTGATGAACAGCACTAAATTTTGAACACATACACTCAGACTTCACTGTTCATGAACAAGACTGCCTGCATACCACCTGGAAAAGAAAACTGGAGCACTCAGACGATGGGCTCATTACTGTCCCACCATGTGTTTTTGCTGGCCTGGATAAGCAGTATTTCCTTTCAGGGCCACTCATGTTAGCTTCAAGATTTTTAGATCTTTTTCTCTTTCTTTTTTGGGGTTTTTCTTTTTTCTTTATTTTTGGTGAAGAAGATTCGCTCTGAGCTAACATCTCTTGACAATCTTCCTCTTTTTGCTTGAGGAAAATTGTTGCTGAGCTAACATCTGTGCCAATCTTCCTCTATTTTGTATATAGGACGCCGCCACAGCATGGCTTGATGAGCAGTATGTAGGTCTGTGCCCAAGATCCAAACCCGTGAACCGCAGGCCACTGAAGCGGAGCATGAACTTAACCACTACGCCACTGGGCCAGCCCCTCTTTTTCTTTTTTTCAATTGATCATTTTTTCCCCAGCTTTAGTGAGGTATGATTGGCCAATAAAAATTGTATATATTTACAGTGTACAACGTGATGATTTGACATACTATACATTGTGAAATGGTTATCACAATCAAGCTAATTAATACATGCACCACCTCTCTTAGTTACCATTTTTGTGTGTGTGATGATAACCCACGAGATCTACTCTCTTAGCAAATTACAAGTATATAATACATTCTTACTAACTATGGACACCACGCTGTACATCAGGTCTCTAGAACTTATTCATCTTATAACTGGAAGTTGCACCTTTTTATCAATATCTCCTCTCTGCTCCCACCTCTCAGCTTGTAGTAACCACCATTCTACTCTGTTACTATAAGTTAGACTTTTTTAAGATTCTACACAGAAGTGAGATCACATGGTATTTATCTTCCTGCATCTGGCTTATTTCACTTAGCATAATGCCCTCAAGGTCCATCCATGTCACAAATACCAGGATTTCCTTCCTGGTAAAGGCTGAATACTATTCCATTGTGTATATATACCACATTTTCTTTATCTATTCATCTGTCATGGACACTTGGGTTGTTTCCAGAACTGGCTACTGTGAATAATGCTACAAGGAACTTGGGAGCGTAGCTCTCTCTCTGAGACAGTGATCTTATTTCCTTTGGATGTATGCCCAGAAGTGGTACTCCTGGACCATACTATAGTTCTATTTTTCGTTTCTTGAGGAATCTCTATACTCTTTTCCACTTTTCAGATCTTATACGTCTCACGGTCCCACTGGGGCAGGGAAATTTTCAAACCACTTCCCACCCCATTAGAGGCGGAAAGTGTTATCAGCCCAAGTTGACCAAGCCATTGTATCTCAGTGTTTAAGACCAAGCAGGAGCCCAGCGGAAGCCACTGGATTGACTCCTGGCCTCTCGGCTAGATCCTGACCTATCAGGCCCTCATGCAGGACATGCATACTCTGCCAGCTGCCCAAATCCTAAAGCCTTGTGTGGTATTTATTGGCCTCAAAGTTGTTGGCATTATTGCTCAAACTCAGAGAAAGATCGCCTTGCCTAACTCCAAAGGGTTAAGTTTTCGAGCATATGTTTTTCTCTTAAGAATAACATTTTTTATAACTCTCAAAGTTTTAAGTTTCAGCCCTGAATTTAAAAATAAAGTGAATACTCAAATGACTGGTTATAATTTCGAAGTAGCAGGGGGAAATCCCACCCACCTAGAATAGTAAGTAAACCAGTAGAATTCAGCAAAAAAGTAAGGGCAGGTTGTACAAATGCCTGGAAGACATTTGGGAGTGCACAGACTGTCAAGAGCCCGGAAGCCCGCAGGGTAATGAAATAGGCTGCCCAAGGGGAAGTGATGGGCAGGAAGATGCCTTCTGAGGTCTGGCCCACCGCTCTTTCATCTGCATCTATGGCTTTTATCTTGAAGGCACATGTGGCTTTTCTTTCCCCTTCCAGCTTATGCAAGGGAAAAGTACCAGCTTCCCTATTCCTTTCTTCTAGCTGAGCTCATATGATGCTATAGAAGCATCGATACTACCGTCAAAGACTAACGCCAAAGTATTTTTAATTTATGTTCGAGCATTATGTAAATAGGCTATAGGTTTGTCTCTGTGTGTTTGTCTCTCTGTGTATTTTAATAATCTCCTTTTGAAGATTTTAATTCAACATAAGACTAATGCAAAAGACTGACAATATAATTACCCAAGGGCACATGTAGCTCCAACATGCACCACCCCACACAAACCTCTGCTTCTGCTGGCATTTCCTGTCAGAAATAGGTCTCAGCTGTGTGGGATTCGCCCAAACCCACAGCGCTCTTGTGCAAATCTTCCTCGACAAAGTACCAAGGGCTATGAGGCCATTACTCACAGTCTCCCCACGTTCTCTTAGGTCTCATCCTATACCATGCAGCCTCTGGGCTCTGTGTTTTAAGACAGATAAGAGTCTGGGAGAGACCGAATCCTTCTGAAAATGAAGGGGTGGCTCAAACAATAGATGCTACAAATAAGAGCGAGGGGAGCCTGTAGGACATCTTTGTGAGAATAAACTCCTCTTTGATATGCCAATGGCAAGCCATGATTGTGTACACACAGACAGGCTTAGGAGAATCATCATTAGGTAAATGAACCTCAGTTGCTACTCTTCTTGGCATCCTACTAGAGTTGCCTGCGTGAGAAGCAGCTGCATTGAGGATCAGGCCTGAGCGCTGGAAGGGCTGCCACAAGACTCGATTGGCTGATCTGCTGTGGGACTTCTCCATCTATAGCATCAGAATATGTATCATGAGCTTCTCTCAAAGGGCCACCCACTGTACTGCTGGATATCTGCTCTACCGCTTAACTTCTTATCTCACCACGGTGCCCCCTAGGGCCTCCCCAAGTGAATTTTGTAGCACGTGGTTTTGATCAGCCAATCCCAAGCATACTTTTCAAACAAGTGTCTTCAAGTGACCAACAGACAGAAATTTCACTTTATCTAAATAGATTAAAACAAGTACCCAAGACAAACAAAGGCTTCCTCTTGATCAGCCACTTGATAGGAGAGGAACACAACTACACCACTTTCAAACTGAGCTGTGTGTAGGCTCTCGCTAATTAAGACTGAATTCAGTCTTTCCTTCTATTTCACCTCTTCATAATATAAACTCCTGGGCATGTCACAATGGGCATGTGGCACTCATCAAGACCCAGGCCAAATGTCCCTTTACCATTGGTCTTCTACCACTTCATGGGGGTTCTCCATGTGTATTCCCCAGAAGAGCGGCCAAGGCTGGGAATAGCATCCCCGGGAACTTGTTAGAAATGCAAATTCTCAGGCCCCACCCCAGATCTACTGAATCAAACACGCTGGGAGGGGATCCAGCAATCTGTGTTTTAAGGAGTTCTCCAGGGATCCTAATGCACTAAAGTTTGAGAATCACTGTTCTACACCATTTCCGGCAAAAAGTCTATGGCCAGTGGCACTTGCTGCAATCATTAAAAGTCCTGGGGCCAGCTGGGTCTCCCTGTATTGCTTATTAGTTGAGGTTGAAAATAAATCAAAAGCATCTTAATACCCTGGATGACACATGATAGGCTCAGATTTGCATACCTTGTTCTTAAAGATTCTTCTATGATAACAGGAACTTCCCACATCAAAGGACTGATGGTCTTTTCAATCTTTCTGATGTGGATATTCTGAGTTATGAGAACGTCAGTGATTGCAAGGAGCTCACTTAATATCAAAAGATACAGCAAATAGACACTATTTTTGCAGTCACCCAAACATTGGGACACCAAGCTCGCAAAGCCTTGGTGAAAATGCCCCATGATTTTGTAACATTATGAGAGATTAAGGGGGGCCCAGTAGTAGTACTTCATCGCATCCTTATGAGATTCCCAAGTCCATGCTTAAGGGAAGCACATTGTAAAGTTTAAAGCTCTGCCTATATCTGGAGGTCACAAAAGGCTGACCTGTTGACCAAAAGGAATTTTGTTGTGTTCACAAGTTGATACTATTCTCTTTTAAATGGGAGATCTCACATCTTAAAAAAGGAGATTTCTGGCTTCTCTTGAAAGTGAGTTGATATGACAACATAGGACTCACGTTCTCACATGGTATAAATTAACTGCATCTTTACTGAGAAGTGGCATCTGCTCTCCAGGTCCCCACAATTTTCCACTCAGTCTGCGTCACTCAATTATGTTACGTGCTGGCCCCTGGAGCCTTTTGAGTTTGCAGCCCCTATCTACTATAAATAATCCTTTTCATTGTTATTATTAGGATCCTCCTGCATTGGAAACTCTCAGTAGTTACTATATCCATCTGAGATTTCCCAGTTTGGCAAAAATGTTGAAGTTAATAGAATTCATCTTTCATTCCTTGTGTCCAGTTTATGCTTAAAGATGCATCAGCTATGATTTGTTGATTCACTTACTATAAACAGAAAAGTTTTGCTGAGTGTTTTCTGTATTTTTGCTCCAAGTATTTCCCGTGAAATCTCTCAGCCTTCAAAATAATTTCACAAGGTGGGTATTATCATTATCCTCACCTTGCAGATGAGGAAACCGAGGGACAGCGAGGTCACACAGACACTAATAGAAAGGCCAGGACTTGAGCCAAGGCTTTTGGACACAAGAATCCATGCTCATAATTTGACAGACTGTGAGGGGCACTGGCAGCCCAGGGGACCACTGTCACTGCACATTAATGCCCGTTTGTCGTCTAGTCAGTTACACCCCACAATGACCAACTCCTACTGTCAAGTAAGAACAACATCCGTCTCAGAGATGGGTGATCAAGTGTGGGTAGTTCAAAGGACCAACAGTAGGGATCCTAAAAGTACTGGGTAGCCCCAAAGAAATGCAGAAGCACCAATACTCAGCCCTGGTTTTCCTTAAATATTGACAAATCATAACCCACAAGCCCCCGTTGCTTGGCTTTTTAGATGATGACTGCTATATTTCTCAGGGTACTTTGCCAGAGTAGCTGCTCTTTGTCCCAAGAGGCTAAAGCCTGAAATACTCAGAAGTACAAAAAGGTGCCCAGAGAGGTGTATGACCCTTGCACATGTTTGTGTAAGGCCTGCCTTGGCACTCGCAGACCCACAATGACCCTGAACGGGCCCAAAGTGGCACCAATCTGCTAGATGGCCCTGCAGACTCAGCTGCCAATATCCTGAGTAAATCAATTTTTAGGCCTTAACTTGGGATTTTAGAAGAAGAGCATCATCCACGTCTCTGAAATGGAAGAAGATAACAAATGAAAGGCCAGGCTCTTCGATTCTCCAGGCCTTTTCCAGCTGCCTGCCAAGGACAGAGGTTCACAGGGGACATGTACAGGGATGGTCCCCACAAGAATCACAGTGTTTGTTACCACAGGGCTTGGGTTTGGGTCTCTAAACCCTCTGAGACATCCCTGACCTGGGAAGCTGGGCTGGGCTGAATCCCATGTAAATTGCAGCAAGGACCTTTGCCCAGGCTATGCAGGCAACCTAAGCGGTCTGGATCAAAAGGAGCCTGATTGGCCTTCTTGGTCCCTGGTCCCACGCTCCAACCCTGGTAGTCAAGGCCTTATCACTCCAAGGCCGGAAGAAGCAGTGAGAGATGGCCTCAAGGAAATGCCAAAGTATTTCTCTACAAGCGAGGGCAGAGCCAGCCTAAGCTACACCTACATCCAGGCCCTCTCAGGGCAGAGAATGGGATCAGGTGGGAGCCACAGGTCCACTAACTGCACCCTCTGGGTGAGAGTTTCAAGAGGGAGAGGGACCCAAAGTGAGATCCCAGAAAGGGCAGATTCCATGGAGGCATGTCCAGGCTCACATACCCCCAGATATCCCCACCCAGGACGCTAGCTCTGCAGGATCCTAGTGGCATCCAGCCCATGGCAGAGCACCCCTCCAAGGCCTGATGTGCCACTGACACAAGGAATCTGGAGTCAGGAGAAAATGGACTTATGACAACTCTTCCACATCTCACTGTGTGAGCTTGGGTATCTGTATACTCGGCTGTAAGGTGGAGATAATGAGACCTGTCCTGCACAGCTCAGAATAAAGGTAACATGTAGGTTTTTGTACATTGTAAAGTGCTGTACGAATGCAGAAGATCATTTTTATTATTCTGCAAAGTAGGGCCTCACTAAATGAAAAAAATTCCCTAAAGAGAACTGTAGGTTGGATTGGCATTTCATATTTCAGCACATATGAACACACTCATGTTGGTCCCTGGTGCTGGCCTGAGGTCTCGTCCATATGGCTCTGAGAGCTTTTGCCCAAAGTGACCTCTGTAATGTTTAGTTATCTCCACATGTGCCCAAGGAAGACTCTCTTCCTCTCGGATGTGCAGACGTAACATCCTCCCCCAAAGTGGGTTTCCATTGAGACACAGTGGCTTCTTCCCCAAGGGCATGTTACTCATTCAGTCAGAACTTCCATCGGTGTTTCCATGCACTGAAACACAACTTGGAAGACTCTCAAAAGGATGTGGTCCTCCTGGTTTGTCCCAGCCTTTCCCAGAGCTACTGAATCAGTCTGCTTCTCCCTCATTGGCTCACGCTGAGGCTGCTGGAACAGCCTGCACAGCGCGCTCATGGGAAAAGCATGAGATGCTGCCGCCATCTTGGAGGAAGCAATTCAGGGCAGCAGTCAATACAGGGGCTCCAACGCTCCGCAGTGTGGGTTCAAATCTTGGCTTTGACACTATCTGTTAATGTTGGGCTCTTATAAAATATGTACAATATAGGAGCCCCTACTTCATCAGCTTGTTTATTAGGATTAAATGACATAATGTTTTAAAATGCACTGCACTCTTATTACTGAGTTTGTGCCGTTAGCTACTGACTTCACTTCTTCATGCTTTTGGCTTTCCTTTTCTAACTGTTCCAAATAAATAATAAACAAACTAACATAGTATAGTAATTGTTTATGCACTTTCCTATTTTTTCCATAGATGATTAACAACTAAGGTTAACAAAAAGCACATCACACAGCGCCCGGCTGAATAGATAATGTTCAATAAACGGCAATTGTATCATTATTCGCTGGAATTATCATTCACGCTCATTCTGCTACAGAGGCATTTTGGCATCTTCTAAAATTATGGCTTTGGGAGTGTCCCAACAGAAGAAAGAAGCACCTGGAAGCAGAGACAGTTGTCAAAGATGGATTTGCTCTTCTTTTGTACTCAACTGGAAGATTCAATTAAAGGGCCATAGTTTCTAAGTACTTCATTCCCTTGAGGGGGAGAAAATCTCACAGATGATGTGATAAATAGGTTAGAGGACATTTGTCCTTTCATAACTTAAGTGTGCAAAGGGTAAAGTCTTCCCTCTGATGGCTGAAACTTGAGGACACTGCCTTTTTGGTGTTTCCAGTACCTTCCCAGAGGAGGCGCTCTGTAAACACCTGCTGAGTGGATGGATGGATGGATCCTCAGGCGACACCTCTGCCCTGTGTCTGAAGCAGCCAGAGGAAATGCTGCGGGGCAGAGCCCTGGCCTGGAGTCAGAGTTAAAGCAAAGGATAAAAAGGGCTGTTCAGACTCTTTCTGCTTCAGAGGGCTGCCTCTAACCCTCACAGGACAAGGCAGCAGTGTAGACAGGAATTGGGGGCTCTGTCTCAACACCATCTAAAGGCAACGGCATGCCAGGGGCCTCAGCTGCATCATAGCTAAACCTTACAACCAGCCCAAGAGGGAGAACTCATGAGCCATTTTACAGGGGAAGGAACTGACATCCAGACTAACGACTGCCCAGGAACCTCCAGACTAATGTCCCTGTTTATCTGCTCTGCCTCTCAGAGAGGAGCCCAAGTGGGTGAAGAGGTGAGGACTCATTCTCTTCCTCCTTCACATCTCCAGAGAGACTGCAGGAGTGCCAGACTCTGTGGGCAGGCTTCTGAGCTCCTGAGGGTCCCCTGAGAACCCTGGAGAGGTGGCAGAGAGGAGCAGGGTTTACCGAATTTGGAGAGTATGTACTAGGCCAAAGCATGGCATAGAACTACTTAGTCATGTGGTCACTAGCCCTCACTTCCCCACCTCATCTCTTAATTCTCTCGCCCTCTCTCTCTCTCTTTCTCACACACACACACACACAGAGTTAGAAAATCTGCACTGATAACATATATATTCATTGAGGCTTCTACGTTCATGAGAATCATTAACACTTTCCCAGGTACAGGACAAACTCCATTCCACAACTGAAAAGGCACGAGTATTTGTGTTTATTCTTCTTATACACTCAAGAGAATTCCAAAAGACTGCCTCGATTTTTCTTGAAAATCCACTTGGCCCCTGCTGGCATTATCCAACCCCTCTTGGAAAAGGGTGGCCCCAGTGTTAGCCACCACTGGCTCCTCGTTCAGAAAGCAAGTCCTTTCATGGGGCTCAGCTGTTCCTCAGGCATCCAGTAAAGCTGGTCATGCAAAGGCAGAAAATGTGACAACTGTTGGAAACCTTCAGCAGCAGCCTATGGGAGCAACTGAATGTTCTCTGGAGCGGCCACTTCATGGACAGTTAAAGCAGCCTATTATTCAGTTTATATAAAACACCCACCAGCTCCATGGCACCAATAACTGAATACCTCCATTCTTATCAAGTTCATGACATACTGGCCACACTGCCTTGCCACTAACTTTAGAAACCATAAACAACTTCATTAACCATCAAAATTACACATGCACAGAGGGAAAAGGAAAGAAAAGAAAAACAGCCTTCCTGAGTCCTGAGGACCAAGTTCAAAGATTGCCTGATAGGCAAAACAAAGCCATAGCATTTCAACATCGCCAACAAACGCCTCTCTCACTTCAGTGGCAACGTCTCCAAGATATTTAAGATTTGAAGACTTAGATAAAGAGGGTCTCAGAGCCATGGACACCACATCAAATGCTTCCTAAAAAAGAAGGGCCTGAGTGCATTTTCCCAATAAAGAATCTGTCCAAAAGATTTTGAAAACACTTTAATATACTTTGCTTCCAAAACATGACACACTATTTCTCCAACAAATTTATATGTGTTTCCAGGGAACTCTTGGACAAACAAATTTTTTTAAAAAGCTCAGGTAGAAGAATGTCTCGAGAGTCTTTTATGCCAATATGTTAACAGACCTTCTCTTTAATTGTTATTATTTCATATACAGCAGTAACCATTCCTTCATCTGCAAAGGAAATATATAATCCAGCTGTGGTGGCTCCAGTAAAAATACCACATCTGTGGATCATTGGCAACACTGTGGCAAGATTGCTCAAATCTAGGCAGTCTCAGAAAGTTCTCTTTTAGACTCAAGATGCACATGGGTACACTTTTCTGAAAGTGCGTATAAGCTTGGCCAGAACTGATTGCTCCTTTGTATGCTGAAAACAGGTTTTCAAGATTATCCACACCCATAAGAAGGAGGCTCTCCTGGAATATGATTCCCAGGACCCAGTTGTTATAACAAGTCCTCAGACCCCTCCGGGGCGGTGGCTTGTGCCAGTGCCCTTGTCAATATCAAACAGAACAGGGAAATGAACACTCCCGGTTCCAGCGAGGAGGTTCTACCTCGTGGCTGACAGTGGAGCTGACTGCTGGTTTTCCACTTAGCAGACGAACGGCTTCCGCAGAGAGGATGGCAGCCACTGTTCTGGTCACCATTCTCTCCCTTCTCCAGTGTATGAAGTCATATTACTGAGCCCTGGGTGATAATATTCCAGGAATCGCCCCCCACGCGTCTGTTTAGTCTTTCCCAAAGCCCAGTAGCAAGCATCTTATTTCCAAGCCAGTCTCCCAGATTCAAATCCCCAGCCCAAAGCGCGCCCCGGGGGTTTCTATCCACAGATGTATAAAAGAAAAAGCACCGTAGCTGATCTTTGACAGACTTTTATCCCCAAGACACATGCCCTGCGGCTACCGTGCTGGAATGTCGATGGCCCCCAAACACTCGGGGCCCCCTTCCATCCCAGACAATAGAGCCAGAAAATAAAATGAAAGTGGACTTACTGCTATGGCTTGCAGCCTTTCCTTGTGCAATTCCGCTTCTGCCATCCTAGAGAAGGGCACACAGGCAAGGGAAAGAAGAAAGAAAAACAAAACACACGCTGAAGTCACCCGACGAAATTGATGGGCACCCCGGGGGGCTTGGCTAGAACCCCGGGGAGAGCCCAGAGGCGGCCGGGGTCCGCTCCGGGGGTGGCGGGCAGAGCTGTGCGCACCGCTGGCTCGCCCCGGCTGGCTCGCCCGGCTCAGCCTCTGGCCCCCGCCCGCCCCGCCGCCTGGCTGCGCCCCAGCGCCGCCGCTAACTGCATCTCCCCGCCGCCGCCGGCCGCGCCAGTCGGGGACGTGGGCCGCGGGCAGCTGCCGGGAGGGCGCGCTCGCCCCGTGCTCGTTCTCTGCCCTGACGTCTCGGCGTCTCGCTCCGCCCCTGGGGTGTGGGGGACCCGCGACCGCGGCCAGGGGCGGCTCTAGGCGGGCAGGAGCCGCTGAGGCTGTCGCCGCAGGGGGGAGGGGTCCCCAAGGCACCGACGGACCGCGCGCGTGCGGGTGGGCGCCTGGGGCGCCGGCGCACGGCGGACCTCTAGGGCGCACGGCTGGCGCGCCGAAGTGGACACGCGCTCGCAGGGCCGGAGCAGGGCGAGGTGGCGCCACCGCGGAGCAGATGCCAGCCCAGGGGGCCTCTGGCAAAAAGGGGCGTCCCCGGGCATGGGCCCTTACGGGCGGGCTGCGGCCATCGAGTGTTCTGGTCGCCTTCTAGCTCCTGCCAGATGCTTGGGCTCCATGTGGGGACATTTCCAATAGGGAAGGGCTGCCTCGCCCACGTGCTTTAGGTGGCAGGGTCCTCACACATCACGTCGGCTGAGGGCAGGGTACAGCTCAAAACAGGCCTCCCCTCTGTAAGGCCAAATACGGCTTAGAAAGACAGCCAAGAATTTGTAGTCCTAGGGCCTCGGCTAGGCCAGGCTTGACCAACTAATTAGCTGTGAAACTTTGGGCAATTCACTTAACCACTCTGAACCTCAGTTTCCTCATCTGAAAAACTGAGTGTCCTCAGTGATGAATGAGATAAAGGTGCTTTGTAAAGGGCAATCTGTTCGTATCATTATCCTGTGACATTCTGGGCTGAAAGTCTTGGAGGGTCGTTACTTCTATACACAGTCTTTGAAAGGAAAAGTAGGGTCTAGTCCCTAAAATACTTCACCTATTCTTTACCAAAACAGGAGACAGTACTAAAGCACATCTTTTGCAACAGCCTATGGGCTGGATATGAGAGATGGACAAGACCCAGTCCAAAAGGAAATAAATGCTAAAAACAAACAAAATACTTCTTAACATTCAGGAGGGACCTACTAGAATTCCCAACATTCATAAGCAAATTTTCCCTGTAAAATGAAATAAATACACACACACACACACAAAGAAAACATTGGGACCTCTTCAGATCCTTCATGGTTCTATAAATGCAGGACTTAAGGCATTTTAAAAGGTATGCGCATTAGATTTCTCCAGATCATCTCTTTCCTGGGCAAATTCTTGCAATTCAACTAAATTGCCTTTTCGACTGCCATGGAGGTTTTACCTGTCACTTGATGAGCAATTATTACTCTGCCCAAAGATGAAAGAGGTCACCAAGGAGTTTTACTGACTGATTGTTTTCCCTTCCTTTTTATAAGGAGGGTGCGTAGAGCTGTTTGTGTCATAAATCCAAGCCAGTGCCAGATTCAACATCTCACTCCAGTATATCCAGAACTTCTTTCTGGCTAAGACCCATCATTTTCTTCACAGACATCATTTTCTTGTTGCTTCCAACATCAGCTCCAGCATGACAAGTCCTTTGAGGGGTGTTTGCTCACCAGTAAACAAAGCTGTTATTGCTTGAGCAGAGTGCCTGTGTGCTCAACAAGAGTAGAGAATCAGAAGATGAGGAAAGTGAGGCCAGAGAGATTGAGGGACTCCGCCAGAGTCCTAGAGCTGGGATTTCAACTCAGGTCAGGCTCCCCAGAGCCCGTGTTATGAACCACTCAGGACCAGGCTCGGCCAGTGAGATGGAGGTGGGGCAGGTCCCAGGAGAAAACAAGAGAGCAAGAAATGGTCCATTTGCCCCAGCTATATAGATACTAAAAAGGAATAGAGGAGCACGACAATGCGAATGAACTTAATGTCACTGAACTGTACACTTAAAAGTGGTTTAAATGGTAAATTTTATGTAATATATGTTTCATCACAATAAACTTTTTTAAAGGAGTCATGGAAGGGGAGATGGGGCCTGGACACCCCTTGGAAGTGACCAATTGGAAAGCTCTCATCCTCAGGATAGAAGACTCAAGATTGGGGACACATATCTGGATGTCATCTACTTTGAGGTTATAGCTAAAGAAAGGAGAATGGCCAGGGTGAGAAGAAAGAACAAGAAGAAGAGAAAGCCCAGCAAAGAAGGCTGAGAAAGTATCATCTGAGAAGTAGAAGGAAAAATCAGGAGAAATGTTTGTACCAAAAGCCACAAGAGGAGGAAAGAGGTTTTCAACAGGGTCACATGCTTCCAAGAGTCAAGAAGGATGCAGACCAAGATGAAGCCATTGGCTTGCGCAGTCAGGAAACCATGGGTAAGCGTGGAAAAGCAGTGTGTGGAGGGTGAGCTTGGAAGCGATTATGGAGAGTTGAGAGTGAGTGAGAGTTCGGGAAGAAGGATCCATGAGTACAAACCATTCCTTTCAGATCTTTAGATGTGAAAGATGAAGATGGTGGGGGAAACAGGAAGCTGGTCTATGGGAGCAGGGTCAAGTTGAAGGGTTGTTAGGTCAGGTGAGACTTGAATGTTTCAGGGCCAAAGGGAATTAGGCATCAGGGAAGTGAGGCCAAAGACATAGTCAAAAGGGAAGGTAAGTATTAGGTCTCGGATTAGACCAGAGGGCATCCAGATGAGCACTGGCGGCCACCTGGGCCTTGGAAAGAAGGGGAACTGAAACAGGCAGGCGGATAGAATGGGTAAAGACAAGAAGAAATTTTGACATGAAGGAGAAAGAGGCTGCATTCGTTACCCTGGTTTTCCCAGCTGAGAGAAGGGTCATCGGTTGAGCTTGATGGAGTGGGGGTAGGGGACTTCAGAAAAATAGAAATGGCTCGTAAAGAAGCTGTGGGAAATGACAAAAATTAAGCCACAGTTCCCAACCTGAAGTATGCATCAGAATTTCCTGGGGCACATTTCTCTGACTATATGTACAGAATTAAATTTCTGTGAGGTGAGGTAGGGGTTAGGGATGGGTTTAGAACCATAGTACTAATTGAGTTTACCAGGAAGAGAGAAAAGACTCATGGCCAATCATGTGTACTTCCTCAGGGATTTTTAACCATCTGAGACCCATGACATGCAGTGGTTGTGTTTACTCAGTGTTGAGGACTGTCAAAGCAGGTATAGCCAAAAGTCAAAGAAAAGAAGAAATTCAGAATGCTGGACCCTGGGGTTTTGTCCAGGTGGAAGTGTACCAGATTCTTTCATGTTTTTTTGGATGCCCAAATTGTGAGCCACTTTCCATCTTTGGGGAATTCTCATGTTATGAGCCATAGTGAGAATCACAGCAACCTCCCATCATAGAAGCTGGGGAATGCCAGACACTTACTTCCCCAGACCCCCCAGAAGCTATGACATGGTGTGCAGTCTGGGCTCAGTCAGGCCCGTGCACCTGCCAAGGATCTGGAAGACACAGCATTAGAGAATTCTTTCAGGCTGGTAGTCCACCTTCAGTCCTGCCCACTGCCCAAGCCTCCTTCTCTAGCCTTCCCAGCTGTTCTGTGAGCTCCTGAATGTACTTTCAATTCATTCCTTCTCTGCTTCTATCACTTAGGATCAGTTTCTGTTGCTGGCGACTAAGAATCCTAAGCGAAACAGAGACGTGAAGTGAATGGCTGATGCTTGGCCAAGAGCAAAAGGAAAACATTTTCTCCTCTTCCAGCACTTCTCCCCTCTAATCTCTAAATTCTATCATTTTAAAATCATTGAACCCCTTACAAACACAGAAATTTATAACCAAAATTATTCCATTTCTTTCATAAACATTTATTATATAGCTATTCCATACTAGACATCAGGCTATGGCTTGGTATTACAAAGAATTCATAGTCTTGTGCTAATATTGGTGACTTTCTGCCCTCCACACATTTAAAATCTGGAAAGGTCCATTACAGTGGTTCATAACGTGTGTAACAAATCATTAGTTTTTGCTGGGACATTAAATTGTGTTGTATAAGCACAACCTGTATTATTGGTTTATTTGATAGATGCTGCATTGCAAAGCATGATGCAGAGAGAATACAGAATGCTAGATTTGCAAAATAGATGTTTTGTTCATAAAAATTTCAGAATCTATTTTAGGGCATGAGTCCTTTGGGAACCACAGATGACCATAGCCTAGTCCCCTGTGGGGAAAATAGGAGCTTTGTAAAGGGAGAGGGAAATGACGTGCCAAGGCCCACTGAGTGAGTAAAAGTTAAAGTCTTATTGAACAGTAGCTAAGAGTGTGAAATTTCATAGTAACCTGAAGCTTTCCTTTAACAAAAGTAATTTTAAAAGGCATGCTAGGGTCCTCCAAAATGTTGTATTTTTATCAGCTCTCTTTTGCCTAGGATCTTTTAGAATACATGGTCATCCAAAACATAGGTGATGGCTGCACAGAGTGACAAGGAGGGGAACAGTGCTTGGAATGGTTTTGGCTCCCGTGGTGGTGAACAATTTGGGAAGATTGGTGGGATTTCAGGTTTGTGCTGTTTTTCTCTATGAGATACAAATGATAGATTCATATAAAGTCTCCATGGTGCAAGAAAGAGAAAGACGTTAGAAAACAGAGCGCCAGCATGGGAGATAAACTAGGCTGGATGTCACCTAAGGTAAATGTTGGCTAGGGGTCTCTACATAGCAGATTCAAAATGAGCACTTGGCAATCTGGCTAGACATGAACATGAATATTTCAGTTTGATGGCCTTTTCTCTTGGTTAGCTTTGGCAAAGTCACTTGATTGATGTGGAAACTAGGAGGTATGAGGAGAGGATACAGGAATTAGAGCCGGATGGTTAGGGATCGATCTACACTTACCCTGCTAGGATATTTGGATGTTGGTTCATAATAGTCTTCTTACTAATAAAAGTTTTGAAAAGTAGGATTAGAAAGTGGGAGGTGGGCATGATATAGTGAAAAGGCATGAGCTCTAAAGACTAGTTAGAATCCCAGCCCTCAGCCTCACCAACTACACTACCTTGAATTCTTGTAGCCTCATTTTCCTCATCTTTAATGGAGGACAATAGCTCTAACCGCATATAGATAGTGTGAGAAATAAGAATAATAGATATAATATGCTTGAGAGTGGACACAGGAGGTGCTCCAGAAATGGTAGGTCCTAATTACTCAACCCTATTGCTTCATTAAAAATGTCATAGACCAAATTAAGGGAGTGACTTGACTTTATGCATCATCTAATGCAGGCTTTTAAAATTTTTTTTAGAAAAGAGGTGAACTCTCAGTAAAAATTCCCCACATTGGTAGATACTTCCCTGTTCTCATCTTTTAAAAGGGAGAATTGTGCTCTGTGTCATTTATTGTCTAGAAATTTCTTTACCAGATTCTCCTTTTAACGATTCATAGACACCTATAATCTTATCTTTGTAGTGGGTCAATTTAATAATTATAAATAAGAAGGAATTAGAAGGGAATTATTTTTTAAATTATTATTATTTTTATTGAGGTCATGTTAGTTTATAACATT